CGACCTTACTTGGGTATGGCCGGGTTTTAATCTTTCCCCCTTATTTCAGGTTTGACGGGCCGGGCAGAGATCGAGAAGGTCATGTTCTGGTACACATGCAGATTCCTTTGATATTTCTTAGCTGTGTTTTAACCCATGCAGGCCATGCATCTCTTGATTCAGATCTAAATTTGAATTTGATAGACTAGGGTTCTTGTTTATTTCGTATTTTCATCTCTCTTTCAACAGCCCTAGCACCAATTTCTGATAGTCTGCCACCAGTGAGTTCGTCCTACTGCCACCAGCCCACCACTGGTGCTACACAAAAAAAAGTGAGTAATAATATTTATAACTTATAAGCTTTTACAATATTACTTAATATCTGGGTTAAGAGTTGTTGAATGCCTGTATTTTGACAATTTGTGTGTTTTATTTCATTCCAGTTCTTTTCTGAATTTATTTGTCTGCTTTTTTTATTTTTGATTATTTGATTAAGATAAGACCTTAGATAGGGTTAATAATTTCGATAGTCGTTTAGACTTGGGTTGTTGTTGTTGTTGTTGTTGTGTGTTTTCTACGTTTTAGGTCTTATTGTGTGAGGCAATTCGTGTGTTTTTTTATTTTCCTTGCGCTCTTTGTACTCTTAGTTTTTAATTGCTTTTTACCATGTTTGATTATTAGCGGTTGATTTTCATATTAGTGTTAAGAGTGGCTGAATTGTTTTTTAATGAACTCATATTTCTTGGAGATTTTGATCTTGGAACTTGAACAATAAAGATATTGAGATCGACTTTCTAGTATAGAATAAGGATGACAGTCCAATACTAACATGACCATAATCGACTCAACGAAACCGAGAAAAAAATATACAACCAAAAATTGCAAAGGTGTTTCTAGTGATTAAACAGAAGCGAAAGGGTGTTTGTCTTGGTCTAGCCCGGCCTCTTCTCTCTAGCCATTCCTTGCATGTATTTATGGCGATTCAATATAGTATAAAGTAGAATATTGTTTGATAATTCTGGCTTTTACCGTCTGGTGTTCTTTTAATGCCATGAATTTTTTTGTGCACGCACACTATTGAATAACTTCTAGTTGTCCCAACAATTTGGCCATTATTGTGGATGAATATATAGTTTCCTGAGCAATGGCCTTCGAGTAGTTAGTAAGCTATCCATACTCAGTAACCACATTATGTATTCAATTACCAATTAATTCAGTACAACCATTTTAAAATGTAAGTGTTTGTTTTATTTTTAAAAATATGGACCATTACAAAAAGGGACAAGGGTGAGCATGTCTTGGTTGATGGGGTGGACCAAGGTTGCCTATAATTGTCTTAAACCCCTATGAGGATCTAACTAGACTTCTTGGAGACATTGTCTTTTTAAGGAGGAATTTAGCTCTGCTATATATTTTGAAATCAGCTACTTTAGCAATTGGTTTGCCATTCCAAATTTAGCTTCTTAATTAGTAGTCATTTTCCATTTCAAATTCAATTACTTTACTTACTAATTTATTGTTTTGAATTCAGCTATTGGGTTGTTATCCTGGAAACATAACCTTAGCTACTTCAACTTCTACTACTCTTGAAACATAACCTTAGCTAGCTACTTCAACTTCTACTAACTTATTGTTTTGAATTCAGCCTAGGCATGAATCCAGAACCCAATGAAAATTTCAATTTGATGCCGGTGCAAGGTTCTGATATATCGTTGCTCGTTCATAAATATTTTCCCTTCATGCCTGTTGAGTCTCTTGCCCTAAAATGGAAGAGTTCGGATGATGCTTATGTTCTGCGAGTCCAACTTTTTCAAAAGTTCCGAGTGGCACATGTACCTTCCAAATTTATCAAATTCAAACCCTTTTAAACTCAATATGGTATGATCTACGCGTACATCCTCTACATTGTAAAATCTGATTTGTGCTTGTGTACTAATATCCCCCTGTTTTGTTCTAAAATCCGAATTGATTAGAGGGAGTTGTCCGCTGTGTTTTTTTAGATCAGAATTGATTTATGCCTCTGTCCTGTATATCATGCGTATGTTTTTTTCTTTTTCTTCTTTTTTCTCTGAAATTGAAGATCCGAAGTGATTATGCTATGTTTTTAGATCCAAATGTCCGCTGTTTTTTTAAAGATCCAAAGTGATTATGCCTCTGTAAAATGTCCCACTGGGTTTTTTTTTTTAAAAAAAGATTACTTTTTTGTGATCTTTTTTGAATTTGAGGATGTTTTTTTTCGTTTATAAGATGTTTGAGTGCATCTAAATATTGTGTGCATCTAAAATTGTAGTACCAACAGATGTGTAAGAAAAAAAACAAAAAATGTGGCATATTTATGGTAGTCTATTCTTCTTCTTCCAAACCCATAACTGTACTTGATCTACTACCCCTTGTACAAATACCGGACACTTCTGCATCTACATATTGTGTGCCTTACTGTTTTGTTTTGAACAACTAGTATTTTAACCCATGCCATGCACGGGGTGAAATTAATTTTCGATTCTCCACACATTAAAAAATATTATTAGTCTTTTTAGGGATTAATTAAAAAATATTAGCGATTCTATCATTATTCTCTTTTTCATTGATTAAAAAAATTTATTACCAACCTTATGATACAAAGAATATGATTCTTCTATCCCGCATCGCCACATTAATTTTGATTAGAAAATAATTATTATTAATCTCTCGTGCATTGTTATGATTTTCCTCTCTTGCATTGATTAAAAATACCAAAATGATTCTTCTCTCCCCGCATAAGAAAAATAAAAAAAAAGTTTGGATAAGCAATACAATCATTCAAAAATTAAAAACTAATTAAAAAAATCCAATGATTCTATTTGTTTGCATTAATTTAAAAAAAATTAATATAAAAAACATTAGTGATCCTATGATTTTGAATTAAAATTTACAAAATATTTGATAATTTTTTTATTTTTTCTTTCTATTTGAATACAAATTAAAACTATTACTTTTTTTAATTTATTTGATTTAAATATTTAATTATTTAAAAAATAGTCTAGTCGTTTGTAGTATTTTAGTGTAGAGATTAAAATATATTTTTTTATATTTTATTTTATATAAATATTTAAATATATATATAAAATCATGATTAATTTCATTTAAGCTTGTCATAAAAAATATTATTTTATAGAGGTTATGAAAGTATCGTTTTCAAGGAAGAAAATTTTATTCGTTCATTGATAGTTTTATTATAAATGAAGTGAAAAAAATAGAAAAGTAGAAAAATGTATTCTAATAAAAGCAATGATCTCTATTCCACAATTAAATTTACTAAAAATGTTGAAATTATAAAGAATGTTAGTGTAAACATAGTATGTCTTGGTAATACATTTTTTATATCAAATGTTAACTAGAATTGAATTTAAAAAAATCATCTTATTTATTAATGAATTTTTTTTATAAATGAAGCTAGTAAAAAATATTGTATTGTAATACAAACCATGTAATACACTTCTTTAATCCATTTTATCTTGTAATTTGTATTTTAAAAAATTATAAAAATTATATATTAATAATATATATGTTAAGACAAATCAAACAAGATCACACATACTATATTTAGGCTTACACATTGAGAGAATTTGATGAGTCAAAATGCTTAGATGAACAGTTCCAAAAGTCAAAACTGGACAAATATTGGGGGACGGAGGGAGTAAATACAATCAAAGGAATATCATGTAAATGTAAAATGAATAAATATAAAATTTATATATGGGTGAGGAGTGTATTTTATTTATTATTCTAAAAATATTTTGTAAAATTTATGATTTAACGAATCCCAGATAGGTATTAGAAATATCTGTACGTAGAGTCCTTAAAATGATATTTTATTAAAAGTAATGATTTACACGGAAAATAATTTTAATTCTAACTTTGAATTCATGGGTTCAAAATAAGTAACTACTCCATATCATTTTTGAAAAAAGAATAAAAAAAGTGAAATAATGAAAGAGAGTAAATTTGGTTAAATTGTCACCTAATATTCCACATGTAAAGTTCCTAATGTGCCACATGTCAAGCTTTGAATATGCCAAATGTCAAGTTCTTAGAGAATGGAGTCTCCTTTTTATATAGAAAGGATTTGATAAATTTGTTTTTGCATGTCAATAATGAGCCCTCATGTTTTAAATGCATAGTATTTTATTTCGGGCATGCACACAGTAATTTCATTATCATGTACTCCCTCTATCCCTAAATAAACTTCTCCTTTTGTTTTTTCTTTGTCCCCAAAAAAACTTTTCTTTTCCCTTTAAAAACCATTTTTACCCCTTACTTTTTCATACCCTACCTATCACATCATACTTTTTTACTAATAATCTACTCATCACATCTTACTTTTATCCATCACATCAAGGGTATTTTTGGAAAATCAACACCAAATATCTCTCCCTTAATTTCTCAAAAAGTCAATAACGGAAGTTTATTTAGGGACGGAGAGAGTATATGTCTAGGCTATTACTAATCCAGCAGATAGTCGACCTCTAATATATATTGTTTTTTATAAAGAAAATAATGGGATGCAAAGCTAATTGGAAATGAAATGAAATTATTATACTAAAAAACACAAATTCTCCGTACTTAATATTTACACACGATGTCTTTAGGATTATTTGGAATATCCTAGATGTTTCTTAGACACTCGACACATACATTTTTATGTATTTGAATCGAACAAAACACTGACCTTTTGTTTGATTTTGGTTTTGTGTAAAAAACAAACAAAAAGTCGAACCCGACCCTACATATTGCTTCATCGAGTTAGTATTTTTATAAGTTTTTAATGCGTATAAATATTTAATTTTATAAACCAAAAAACAAAAAAATAGCTGAAATAAAAACCGCATAAAAGGAATCAAATACGGAGTAACCAACAGTTTACATATTTTTTATGCAAAATTGAATTGATTCGAACCGCCAACTTACCTTCCGTTTTGTTTTGTGATTGGTTTTGGATAAAAATGGAATCACCAAAACAGAACCCATCGAGCACCATAGCCCAACTCTAACCTTTTTCCGTGCAGCTTCCTCCATCGATCAACAAAGAAAAAGAAAGAGCAATCGCAACGGAGCAGGGGGGACTCTTTTTCTTCATCTCTTTTGTTTCTTTTCGCCGAAAAGAGACCTAATCGCCAAAAATGGAACAGAGCACGCTGTAATTTTCGATCTCTGCTCCAGGTATTCCAAATTTTTCAAATTCAAACCCTTTTAAACTCAATATGGTATGATCTACACATATATACTCTACCTTGTAAAATCTGTTTTGTGTTTGTGTACTACAATCCCCCTGTTTTGTTCTAAAATCCGAATTGATTTGAGGGAGGTGTCCCCTGTGTTTTTTAGATCAGAATTGATTTATGCCTCTGTCCTGTATATCATGCGTATGTTTTTTCTTTTTCTTCTTTTTTTGCTGAAACTGAAGATCCGAAGTGATTATGCTATGTTTTTAGATCCAAATGTCCGCTGTTTTTTTTAAAGATTCGAAGTGATTATGCCTCTGTAAAATGTCCAACTGGGTTTTTTAAAAGCTTACTTTTTTTGTGATCTTTTTTGAATTTGAGGATGTTTTTTTCGTTTATAAGATGTTTGAGTGCATCTAACTATTGTGTGCATCTAAAATGGTAGTACCAACAGATGTGTAAGAAAAAAACAAAAACTGTGATATATTTATGGTAGTCTATTCTACTTCTTCCCAACCCATAACTGTACTTTATCTACTGCCCCTTGTACAAATACTGACACTTCTGCATCAACATATTGTGTGCCTTACCGTTTCATTTTGAACAATTTGACAAATTTGTTTTTGCATGTCAATAATGACCCCTCATGTTTTAAATGCATAGTATTTTATTTCGGGCATGCACACAGTAATTTCATTAGCATGTATATGTCTAGGCTATTACTAATCCAGTAGATAGTTGACCTCTAATATATATTGTTTTTTATAAAGAAAATAATGGGATGCAAAGCTAATTGGTGCTTCTTGCTTATCGTTGACCTCTAAAATTCTAGTTGACATCTAAAATTATTTTGGGAGTCAATGTTCTCACTCTGTATAATGGGGTGCATTTTAATGCATAATATCATGGCGGAGTGAATAAATGTAATCAGAACTACAAGAAAATTTAAATTATATTCTCCCTCCGTCTCTAGTTTGATTACAAATTGGGAGTTACAAGGCAAAACCTCCCGTCTTTTGAAATCATTTTATTTACAAATTGGTACATCAATAAGAAAAAAATTACACATTAAAAAGACTATGTCAAAGTTCTACAAAACGAGGGGTGACAAAAATATTTTATTTGATCAAATACTCAATGAAAATACCCAAATAAACAAAAGTTATTGAGTGGAAAAAGAAAAAAAAGATTGTAATCTATTTCGGGACGGATGTAGTATTTTTTTATCAAAGAAAAATTCAAATTATATTAAATATACATATTACTGAGTAAGTAAATAATTCTCTATTTATTTTAATATAATGGGTTCGAATAGATTTTAAATTTTTTTAAAAAGATGATAAATTTGGGATAGATGTTCGACGCAATGGAATTAAACAAGGGAAGATGAGATGAAATGGTGGAGCCGGGTCGGGCTGGATATTGAACCCAATTATTTTATTTTAACCTAAATCCCCAAACCCGCGGCCTCTCACAAACTTGGGACACTACTTTCATCTCGCCTCTGGTCTGCTGAGTATATCTCACCGTAAAAATATGCTCCTCCGCTTTTCACGCACCACTCACCGACTAGTTGCCATCCATACTCTCCTTCATGTTTCCAACTAGATTTCGTACATGTGCGTTGCACGGTCTTTATTTGTGAGTGTATGGTTTAAGTGTAATTAATTTAGAAATTATATAATGTAGAAGAACAATTAGAAATTATATAGAGAAAGTATAGAAAAAACATATTATTTGATCCATTTGTCAAGATTTAAAGCATTACATATTAATGTTGAAGATAATTATGAAAAAACTATACTAATAAGAAATTAAAGATTCTGCAATACTTCTTTGTAAACAGCATTCTTTGTGGTATTTGAAGATACTTCGTGCCCAACAGTTTTACCACCGTCATTTTCAAATGACAGATTACACTCATATTCATCGTAATAGAAAGAGAATAACTGAATGTTACACAATACAATATATTTACATAAATGATGTTAAAAATGATTAAACATATTTACTACTCTACAAAGTAAGGAGTATCTTTTAGTGAGATCATACTATAGAAAAGTACTCCATATATACTTCATATCATTTTATAGATACAATCAATTTATTCGGGGGATCCAATTTTTTTCCATTGGCAGATTTCAAAATAACTCACAAAACTTATTAAAGGAATAACTTTCTCACAAGATAAACTACTTGGTAAATCAATTATAAAGGAAAAACTTATAAGAGTTTCTTACAAAATAAACTCCGGCCTTGTTTTGAAAGAGTGTTTTCAATTAATGTTAGTATTTTGATAAAATTTTAACGGTTAAAGGTTAACCCTAAAAACGATAATGCTATAGGCTAATGTAAGATTACCTTTTCAAAATGCCAAACATGGCCTACTTCAAAAACATATTCATGATCTGTTCCATCCATCTTTCTCTTTTAAAATATACTTTCTCTGTCCTAAAAAGAATTACACTCTTCCTTCACTGTTCAAAAGTCATAAAATCCTTTGTTTATTTGTGTGTTTTGATTGATTATTTGATAAAATAAAATATTTTTAACACCTAATGTTTTGTAAAAATTTTTAACACCTAAGTCATAAAAATTTTAACACCTATATTTTTAAAATATTTGTCATTCAAAATTTGTAAAAATAAAATATTTTTAACACCTAATGTATAGTTTTTAACACCATATGCTGTAAAAATATTTTTAACACCTAATATTTTAACACCTAAGTCATAAGTTTTATTTTAAATTTTTATACCAACCTATAAATAAAATAAATTAAAAAACTTGAAATTTTGTTTTGTTTTGCGTAAAGTGTAAAACATTTTGGAATAGAGGAAGTTTGCAAGATAAAAGATACATTAGGTGCAAAAAAAAGAGATTTGCAAGCACTTTTTGCAAACGGGTCTCAATAAATAGTCATAGTAATAAAGATAAAAGATTTGCAAGCACTTTTTGTATTTAAATGATACATTAGGTGCAAAAAAAAGAGATTTGGAAGATCTTCACTTTTACTCTAGCAAAAAAAAAGAGATATGCATGCTTATTTGACATATACTTTTTTATGGTGTGTGGCTCAATAAGAGATTTTTACATTTCCTGACCGATGTTGCACAGATAGGCATCATAGGCCTCATTTTCCAGCCTCTCCATCTGATAGGCCCTTTTGGCAGTGACTTGGACCAATATTTTTAGGCGGGAACACTATTCATTTTTTCAGCGTACCTTTGTATAGATAAAGATAAAGATGTCACTAGTAGAGCACATAAATAGCTTTCCATTTTTTGGTGTACCAACCAAAACACTACCCTTTGTTCTTTTTTGGTTTTGCTTTTTTTGTTAGTTAAGTAAATGACTGTAATTGTTCATTTTTAGGTGGGTTTGCACTTTGCAGCTAGACTGTGAGGGGCAAGAATTTGCAAAGGTGTTACTAGTGATTAAACTTAGTAACCAAATGTCCTGAGCCTGAATAGCTTTCATTAGTTAGTAAGCTATCTGTATTTAGTAACTACATTATGTATTCGATTACTGATTAAGTATACCCATTTTAAAATGTACGTATTTGTTTTATTTAAAAAAAATATCTATCATTTCAAAAAGGGAGAAGGGTGGGCAGCTTTTGGTTGATGGGATGAGCCAAAGCTGGATATGATTGTCTTAAACTTCTATGGCTATTTTGAAACTAGCTACTTTATCAATGGGTTGCTATTTCGAATTTGGCTTCCTAATTAGTAGTCACTTGCCATTTTGAGTTCAGTTACTTTACTTACTAATTTATTGTTTTGAATACAGTCATTGGGTTGCTGTCCTGGAAACATAATCTTGGCTACTTCAACTTCTACTTTTGAAGTGTTAAGTATGAATCCAGAACTTAACAAAATTTACAGATTGATGCCCGTGCAAGGTACAGATATATCACTGTCCGTACCTATTCGTTATCCCAATCAGCCAGTTGAGTCTCTTGTCCTACAATGGAGGACTTCAGCTGATGTCTATGTGCTTCAAGTCAAGCTTTTTAAAGATTTCCAAGTGGCACATGTGCACCCACTATATGATGAGTCTGGAAAATGTGTCCACGATATGTCGAAACAGAATCATGCCTTTATAATAAAAGGCATCATAAGCTTCGAAACTCCCGAACGTGCTTGGTTTATTTATGAGTCATCTGTCCCACTACCAGAGTTCTTACAAAAAACTAGCATGGCTAGAACTACGCATTCTCACAAACAACAGATCACCGAGAATCTTATTCTGTGAGCTAATTTCTTAGTTTGATAAACATTACTATTTTTAAATGTTTATAACTTAAATATCCTAAAATTTTGTTGTTACAAACCTAATTTATGTAATTTTATTTATTATTTTAGGGGTTTCTTGGAAAGGTTGAGAGAAATACATAATATGGGACTCTTCCATGGGCGTTTGAGGGAGAGAGGATCCCTTCTTATTGCAGAGAGAGCCATTCCCAAATTTGGGAACTTCCAAGGTCACTCAAAGACTGTCATAGAAACTAGATGTGACGATGAAGTGGAAGATTTGAAGGCTATAAAAGATGTTCTAAAGGATGCCTTGATGCCAATGAAAGATATTCTTAATTCTCAAGTTTTTGGATTTGTAGACTCTTTCATTGTCAATGAGTATGTCAATATATTTTTACTTAAATCACTTCGAATTTTACACATATTCTAACTTTTTTTTGTCATTAGGTTTATAACATCAAGCAAGCACCTTCAAAGTGTGCATCACCACCCAACATTTTTGAGTGAAGAGCGGCTAATGGAATACATAATCTTGACACATGAAAGGATACAAGATATTCAGGCCAAACTTCGCATTGACTTGCGTGAAATTGATGTTGAGATTATGAAATTTGAAAGCTGTCAATCTTGGAACAAATCTGTCCCAAATGATTATATTGATGTTTTATATTTTAATCGTGAGAAATGTATGATCTTCTTTATATCTTGAATTAGTTATGTTCTTATATTTTGTTTCAAATTTACTCATGTTGTTTTATCACAGGGGTTCACGATACAAAACCAGCCTATTTGAATACTCCACGGGGGTTTCTTCATTTCGCAAGAAACATCGGAGTTCACAAGGTAAATTTCAATCTTGAGTAGTATTGTTGTTAATATATTGCTTAAAAATTGAAATGGATATGATGTTATTGTAAAAAAAATTGAAATGCCATTATTGGTTTGTATTAATCACAATATTTATTATGATGATTTTTTTCTCTGTTTTTCGTCTTTCTAGAAAGACAAGTCATGGGCAGAACATGGTGCGATGATAGTAGACACTTGGCCAGAGATGCTTTCCGCATTTCACCAAGTAATGACTTGCTTTGATATGGAAACTAAATTGGTCAAGTGACGGAAGATTTTTGCAGGTACTTTTAGTTATTTGACTCATGCAGTACATATGTGGCATGATGAGTAATGCGGGTTTTCACTTACGGATAGGCTTGGGTAGACGTGACCAATATAATATGGAGCATGATGGGGGTGTGGGAAAGAAAGAATTAAAGCTTCTCTTGTACATTTTAGTAATAAATAATGAAACTAAAAAGTATTAAGTATGTTAAATATGCATCAAAGTTGTATTAGATCATCACTGTTAAGTTTCATACATAGGCATACAGATAGAGGAATTTTAATGGACTACCCATAGGAGGATGTAGATGTTTGAAGATGTGGGCAAGGATTGTCATGTAAGAGATCTTGAATTGTTGTAATGTTGGGTTGCATGAGCATTAATGATTAAATAAATGATACTTATGTGTTTGTGCCCCATACAGGTTTGGCATGGGTTGTGCAAGTTCATGGTGATGCACATGAGGACTTTTTATCACCTAAGGTTTCCATGTAAACTTGCATTCCACTGAAGCAACCTGGGAGATTATTTTTTGTGGATTTCAAACTTAAGTATGACAGAACCTATAGCATGAAATGTTTATTGGGGGAATATCTAATACCGTACTTTGCTGGGCTAGTTGTTTCTAAAGGATTTGTGATAAAGACAACTCTTAGGCTGACTTATCATGGTATGTTTTGATGAACTATATGTCAGGAACAACTCTTAATATAACATTGTATTACAAAAGCAATTCTCAATTTCTACTGAAGCATTTGAGTTGTCATAAAATGATGTCGGCCCACTTATGTTTTACTTGTATTTTAGTCTTTCTATCTTTGAAAAATATATACATTCGTTTTAAATTTTAGGAAAAATTATCTAAAATAATCCCATCTTTTCGTGCTCTTTCAAAAATAATCTCACTTTTCACTCTCACCAAAAATAATCCCACCTTTCTGCATGTGTGCGAGTTTAAGGTCACCGTTAAATAACTAACGGTCACTTAACGGGATTTTTTAAAAATGCCTATTTTTCTCAAATAAATGAAAGGTGGGATTATTTTAGGTAAATTCTCCCTTTTTCGTTTTTCAATTCCTAACTTTAAATTTAAATGTATTTTTAATTTTTTTTGGAAAAATGATACTACGTACCAAAATTAAGTGTTTTTAGAGTGAAACTAATTGTTTTTTTCAATTATCGATAATTTGGTAATAATTAGAAAATAAATTATTCTACACAATAGAGCTAATTTATTTACTTCATAAATTACATTTTTTTGTAAGTTGCATTTATTTTTTTGAGCTGCACTTCGAATTGTTTTTTGATATTATATAATTTTTATTTCTTAAAAAATAGCACTACAAAACTTATGAATATTTTTCGATAGTTATAAATAAATATTTTTTGTGAAACAACATTGCAATAGTTGTGAAAATAACACAACAATTATTTCGTTGAAATGAAACTTTTATTTTTATAACTCACTACATTTTCTGATGAATTGCAATTTTTTCATGAACACTCCGAAATATTTATTGATAATCTTATATTTCCTATTTTATTTTTTCTAAAATGGAACTACCCAATTTTTGATTTTTTTATAATTCAATACAAAAGTTTCCCCAAAATAGTAATTCAAAAGTTTTAAGAATGGCACAATATTTTTTTCTCCGAAATGGCACTAATAAATATTATAAATCACTACAATTTTTTGGTATTACAATTTCTTTCTTGATCAATACTCTGAATTATTTTTGATAATTCAATATTATATTTTCCCAAAATAGAAAACAAAAAATTGTTAATCGTTAGTCTAACAAGAGTGTACTGTTATATTTTAAAAAATATTAATTTTAAAATTAAAAAAAGTAAAAAGTAAATTTGTCTAAAATAATCACACCTTTCATTTATTTGCGAAAACAGGCATTTTCTAAAACTTCCGTTAAGTGGCCGTTAGTTTTTTAACGGCAACCCAAAACTCACACACATGCGGAAAGGTGGGATTATTTCCGGTGACATTGAAAAGTGGGATTATTTGAAAAATATATACATTCGTTTTAAATTTTACATCAATATTTAAATAAATAGAATCAAAACTAACTTCTTTATTGTAAATGCATCATAGGAAAATATGAAATTTATTTAGAAATTAGAAGAGTATCATATTAATTATTTTAATGTTTTAGTATAATTGAAGAGGCTAATAGCGTGAGTGCCCCGTGGTTTACAAAAGAAGCACTCAAACTCCCTATGTTTGTAAACCTTATTTGTAAAACTTCTGTGGTTTCTAAATGGTGCATACACGCCTCCTAACCGATTTTGAGATTTAAAATGACATTTATACCCTTCTTTCTCTCTATAATGAAATTTCACTCTTACAATTAAATTATGATTGAATGACTAAAGAAACTTTGGGATTGCTATAGACAAAAAGTGAAAACAAAATGAAAATTAAGATATAAAAAGCAACAGAGCCATCATAATAATTTTAAACGTTTCTGAAAGGAAGGATGGTACTTTGATCATTTATTTAATCCTGATTCGATTTTTCTCTCTTCTTTATTTTTTTGCTGAGTAAATCGAGTAGATTTTTTATGAGTTTAATTTGTCAGCCGTATGCAGTAANGACTAAAGAAACTTTGGGATTGCTATAGACAAAAAGTGAAAACAAAATGAAAATTAAGATATAAAAAGCAACAGAGCCATCATAATAATTTTAAACGTTTCTGAAAGGAAGGATGGTACTTTGATCATTTATTTAATCCTGATTCGATTTTTCTCTCTTCTTTATTTTTTTGCTGAGTAAATCGAGTAGATTTTTTATGAGTTTAATTTGTCAGCCGTATGCAGTAACTATTTTTTGGTCTTAACTTTGCGCCATCAAAAGACTAAAAAAGGGCCTTTTACGAATATTTTAAATTTAAAACAGATAAGCCGACCCGGTCGACGAATCTATTCTACGTCCAAAAAAATCCCTAGGATTTTGGGTGGAATAGGAATTGTAATTCTTTCTACCTCACATGGCATACTTACAGACCGAGTGGCCCGACTAGAAGGAATCGGGGGAGAGATTTTGTGTTATATATGGTAGTTCATCTCAAATTAAAGATTTTTATTTATTCATTTTTCAAAACAAAAGAATTCTTTAGAGAACGTTACAAAATATAAAAAGAAGAAAAATGAAAGAAAATAATCTTTATGAGTTAAAAAAAGGATACATAAGATAATAAAAAAGAAAGAAAAAGTAAAGAATTGCCTTTTCTTCTCTGTATTTTATTTCATCTTTCTATTTTTCTATTTTCTTATTTTTCTATCTTTTTGATTAACTTTTTTATCTTTTTTTCTTCATGCAAAGTATTTAATTTCTTTTTTCTTTTTTATAAAATTTATTTTTTAAAAAATAAACAAGTAAAAAATCTTAATTTGAGATGAAGAACGTAGATATTATTTTAATTGTTTGAATAATATAGAACATTAAAAATGAAAAAAATAGTGAAACATCACAATACAGAGGGAGAAGGGTATAAACTATGTGCACCATTTAGAAACCTAATGAGTTTTACAAATAATTTTTCAAACAAAGGAGATTTGAGTGCTCTTTTTGCAAATGATGAGAATAAATTAAGAATCAGAAGAGAATATTATAAAAATACAAAGACTCTCTTCCACAATAAAATTTACTCGGTAACTTCACACCATAACTTCACACCACGCTATTTAAATTGTCTGTTTAAATTGCTTATTTACTATTTATAAGGTCAAACATCATTCGCATTCTTTCTTTAATAATTTGATAAAACAAAATAATCATGTCATTTCTAATTTTGTAGATCTTTTGGTATAGTATTTTAATATGTAATTTTTTATTTTTTTTAATTCTACACCATTTTTCATATAAAATGATTTGAAAGTGATTTAAGTGAAATATCGTAAATCGAAACAGACAATATAAATTTAAACGGTGGAGTATGTCATAAATAAAGTGGCATATTAAGTGTTAAAAATGCCACATGTCTAAAGATTGGAGTCTGATTCTTTTGCATAATGAATGAAGCTATATATTTGAATTAAGTGTTTGATCAATTAAAAAAAAAGTTCTATCATCTCTTCTTTTACACAATATTAATGTAGAAATTTATTTTTTACATCAATATTTAAACAGATAAAATAAAAACTTACATCTTTTAGGCATGTCATAAACACATGATATTATTTTGAGTTAAAAAACAATATTTTATTTATTGATTCAAACTATTACTACCTCCGTCCCACTATATTCGTCCACTTTTGACTTTTGGAAATGTTCATCCAAGCACTTTGACTTATCAAATTCTCTCAATGTGTAAGCCTAAATATAGCCATGTGCGATCTTATTTGATTTGTCTTAACATATAGATTATTAATATATACTCCCTCCGTCCGGAAATATTCTTCCCACTTTCCTTTTTGGTCCGTCCAGAAATATTCTTCTCATTTCCTTAGTATGCTTTTTAAGAATAAATTTCAATAATACCCTTCTATTTTATCACTAATCTACTTTTTTAGTACTTTTTTAATAATAAAAAGAGATTTAAAAGTTTATAGTATGTGTATTTTTGAAAATTTTGCATTTTTTAAACTATTTCTTAATAAGCGTGCCAAGTCAACACGGGAAGAATATTTTCGAACGGAGGGAGTAAATTTTATAATTTTTTAATATACAAATTACAAGACAATAAATTAAAGAAGTGTATTGGATGGTGTGTAAAAATGAAAGTGGACAAATACTCTGGGACGGAGGGAGTATAAGATGTATTGAAGTATCTGAGGCATTAGGGTCAATGACAATAATGTATAGTGCATAAAAGAGACTGTCGAGCTGGGATCTAAAACTTAATTATGAAAGTTGTTCATTGCATGACTAACTAATGGCATGAGTAGTCCACAAAATGTTTGAAAAAGTTCATGGAAACTCTTGGTGCAAATGAAATATATGATATGTTTATAAAATATTCGGGGAGTAAATGATAAAGAAATTGTTTAGCAACATTTTAAAGAATGGTTTGTCTATGTAAAGCTTTTCAACTCGCCTAAAGATCTATAAAATTTACTACGTATGTTTCATTGAGATTCAAATGATACTAAATTCAACTGGACAATCTTTAAAAGAGTTTAGTGACATGCCATTTCAAGTTAACAGCCCTCTTTAGAGAACAATGATTAGAATAGATATTAATCAACAACGAATGAAGATAAGAGGAGAAATACAAGCCGAGATCTTGAATGTTGTGATAGTGTGGGGTGGTGGAGTCAAGTCATGTAGAATATAAAAAGGTCTCTCTCTCTCTATCTCTCTATCTCTCTCGTGAGTGAACAACAAACTTTTTGCATTTGGGTTTTGAATATCACTAAAGCAGCATATCCATGGAACTCTATTTCAACCACAGAAGTTCAATTAGTGTAACAACATAAACTGCTTAAATAACAAGTACACTACTGATAAAATGGAGAGAGAACCAAGTGTGCATACATAGCATAAAATAAAACCCAACTCATACAGAGAGTGCAAACAACATAATGAAAATCCATGGCATTGGAAGTGAAAATGGCAGGCGACATATAATTTAGGTGAAGCAATAAAGGGTCTAGGGGAAGAATGCCCCTCGAAGAAGAGAACCACGACCGTCTTCTGCCTGGAAGATGTATTGGCTCTCAATCTCAAGAGACAGGAATGTGCTCTCATGTTCTTTATAATCACTAAGACGACGACGAGCAGCAAGAGGTGCATCAGCAGAAAGAGGCATACATAGTGCTTTATCTTGCAGTGCACGAGCAGCATCACACAATTTCACTACACTAAAGATGGATACAGCAAGCACCTGAAATTGAACGCTAATTGGGGTTGATCTGGATTTGTTCATCTGATTCCTGCGCAGAGCTGGAATCGCAGGATTGTATCCAAACAATAGAGCGCACACTTTGCCATCCTCCATAGCAAACACATGGTATCTTGTTGAATATAGCCGCACAGAGAAGACATTGCCCAAATTTTGGTAGCCCAAGAGACACCCATCTTTCGAGTACAGATATCCAAACAATTCCATTATATCCCTTATACCACGAGCAGAACAGGGATCGTAATCGTCCTGTTCCTGAAAGGCAAGAATGACATCTCCACCACACACAGTTGTTCCACCCGCTGGAATTATCCAAGGGTAGCCTAAATATCTGCAGAAATATTTAAGCATGTCTTCCTCTCTACCCCACAGTCTTCTCTTGGTATCATAGTGGTATACCTTATTAGAACATGTCAAGATGTACAGCTTATGGCCCAGAACAAAATGGCCGGCCACACGATCAGGCCGATCATCATTGTCATAGTCATCGACATCGAAATCGTCATGTTTATGATCATCATCATCATTATCATCATCATCATTAGAACTAGAGCTAGAGCT